GTTATATTTATATAGATACAGTACAACAGACAGTACTGTTATATTTATATAGATACATACAACAGACAATACTGTTATATTTATATATTATAGTTATGTGATCGTCTAAATAACATTTAATATCACTGACAAATTAATTATAACTAATAACTATGTATGTTTCTCTAGGTTATGAACACATCTATTTTGCTTTGTTGTCTGGTTTTCTCACTGTGGAAGTAACGTTTGGTAATTTTAAAATTATAATTGACTGACGAAGCAGCAGTTGTTAGTTTTATATGTTCATTATAACTCAGCAAACAGCAGAAAAACCAGTCTTGGAACTTTTAGGTACTAGAGAATATCATAGTTGCTGTGACAACATAAATCAAGAAGTCTTTGAAATCTACTATAAAAAACGTTTTATTTAAATTCATTGACGTATCCTAATAGTATTTTATTATTGGGAATTCTTAAATAAATTTTAAAATTGTTTTCACAAAATGAGCATTATTATCACTTATGTTTTGTACTGTAATACGTTAAAAAGGAACCCTTAAAATAAATTAATGTTTCAATTATAACTGTCAACTAAATGCTGAAAAACCTATAGACAATATAGAGATTTTTGAATATAATTTATTACCTTAGCTTGAAGGATCCGACATATATCAATATTTGAGTCGTGTAATTAGAAAACTTCCTAAACAACAACTTATGCTAAATTAACAATTTCATATATGACACAATTCTCATAATCTTATTACAGGTGTTCTGGTTATTGTGCAACTGTTTAATAAATAACTACAATTAAATAATAATGACTTTCGACACATGGTTTTCTTTCATTAGAGAAATTTTTGAAAGTGTCAGATCTATATCTTTTATTAATGTTGCCCGAGATGGGTCTTGTCATCTGTGTGTCAGTTTAGTTCGTGAAACTCAGGCAATAATTGTTAATAATATCAAAACAGATAAATCAACAAACCTGAAATGCTTAAAGGTAATGACAATAATTTGGTCATTGTTTAACAGCTTAAACTGTTAATACAAATATGCACACTTTGCAGGGATTCGAGGTACATCCTTTTTACGTCTTTTCTATGTTCCTTCGGACACATGACAAATGTGCAGGATCTAACCATGACAGTTTAGAGAACTAAGCTAATTAATATATTTCAGACAACTCAAAATTCTCTCTCTCCTTCCTCTATCCACCTAGTTAAATCTAAGGTTAGGCTCACATTAGATCTCGGGCATTAACATTTACTCAGGAGGCTGCCACTAGTTTTTTAGCATCAAACTACGTTGAAATTTGACCATACACACATCAAAAACTGTGTCACAGAACATGGCCGTTGTAGCGTCACCTCATTCTGGGATGTTGCAACAGCAAACTCACACTGTCCCAACAAAGAATAGAATAAAACATTAGGCATTTGTTGCGTGTGCAACATTTTTCATATATGTGATTCAACTTACATTTATTTTTAGCTCAGTAAGTGCTACATGTGCATCTTATTCTTTTAAATGAACTAATATGCACTGTAGATGAAGCACGCAGCAAATCTGTACTACGTATACTTCTCTTGTTTTTGCTGTTACATCCAAAGTGCATTATGATATTATTTTTTACACCTTTGTAGTGCACACCTACAGCACAGTACAATAAGCCAATTAATTTTCCTATAGTGACAATGGATAAAATGTTGAAAAATATCTTATGAACAGAAGCCATAGTTTTTACAATTTCTTTTTAGTTTTAGTTTCCATTTCGTTAATGTCTCATTTTAGTTTTTCACTTTGACCATTTAGTTTTAGTTTCCATTTTGTTAATGTATCATTTTAGTTTTCACTTTGACCATTTAGTTTTAGTTTCTATTTCATTAATGCCTCATTTTAGTTTTTCACTTTGACCGTTTAGTTTTAGTTTCTATTTCCATTCTTTACAAAACACTGTTAAAAGTATAATAATGCTTGGAGATGACTTGAATGGCTAACGAAAAAAAACTTTAATACAAGTTTAACATAAATGTACAACATTTCGACAAGGTTTTGTCATCAACTGTTAGAAATGTGTTACTTTTAGTTAATTTTTAACTTCATTTCAGCACATCTTTATATGGGATTTGAAGAAAACTCAATTCCTACATCAGTCATCATCCATTTATACTTTGTAAGTTGTAGGCCAATAAAAGTTATTGCATAATGTCACTTTTATACAGTCATATTAAGAGGTTTTTAGGTCTTTATTCAATAATTTCATTATAATCATTTACTGTACACAAATTTATATAAACACTGATACTAACATTAAATATGCAAGCCTAGAATAAAAAACTATGAACTTCAGCTATTATATATATATATATATATAATGTATATACTTAATAATTCTTACATATATGTTGATAAATAGATCTAGTAACTAGCTCAACATTTAAACCGTAGTTCTGCACATAGGAATTATTTTATTTCGTTTTTTCAAGTTAGTTCCATGGCCACTGACCTAGTATTATAAGTTATTTTAAGCATGTGCTTTACAAGGCTAACAAGAAAACAACGTAACAAGTATTTCACACGAACTGAGGTCACGATTTAATTACCTGTTATCCTATGTAAAAATGTACGTTTAACGGTTATAATGAAGTAAAATCATAGAAAATGGAACAAAAATTAAAACATTTAAAATTCAAATCCTCTCTCCTGTCACCTTCCTGGCTTATGTCAGTCTATGACTATTTCCTTGGCTGTTTTGCAGCCTTGCAAATCTACTTTGGAGATTTAACTTGAGACTTCCAATATTAGGGTTCTCCTTGATAATATTTCCCACTTTTAATCATTAAATGGACGCCCAGTTTGTGGTTATTATTGAATTAAGTTTGTGGCAGTCTCCAAACTAACATTTGAAGTGTAAAATTTTTACACAGGTGAACGCAATCTCAGCCTTGATTGACCAGGTGTGTGAGAATAAACTGTAAATATACCAAATTCTATAGACTGTATTACAATACCAGGTGCATTTTTCAAATCTCCCAAGGAACTTCTTGGTTTATTTATATGAGAAATATGACTAAGATTGATAATTGTATTGTTGATTAATTCATGAACATATTAACAGTGTCTGCCTAAGAGAAAACTGAGAAACTTTGTTAGGTCTTAGTATGAAGTTAAAGAGATTAAACATAATGTTTAAATGCCTTAATTTTTGAAGTGATTAATTTTCATATTATTTTCTACATTAAACCCTTAAGAGTGGGAAAAATTTTTGAGATACAGAAAAATATTTTATTTAGAGATATTTATTTTGCATTTGAGTCTTATTTTGCAGTGTCAATATTAACGAGCTAAATACACCTGTTTTTTTTTTTTCATTTTTAGAATCTCAGATACTCAGAACAAACTACGAAATGTCTACAGAGATAAGTTTGTGATACTAAGAAGTTGTGCAGTGATCAAAACTTAAATAAATCATTAAACAAAAATAAAATGTAAACAGAGTGATTTCTGAGCATAGACCTTGGTTCTCCAGGGTTATTGGTTTCTTGTTTCATGGCATACTTAAAAATCATTTTCTTGTAAAAAAATAACATTCTGTAAAACATTTAGACTATAAATTCTGAATTAGTTCAGTGAGTTCCTGTGCAGCTTGTTTTTAATTTTCCAATTAAAACTTGAGTTACTGTAGCTTGTTGTCTATTAGTATTTTACATCATGGCTACATCATTCTGAACCTACTTCTTAATGGTACTATTTATTGTTACGACAGCAGAAGTCATGTGAAGCTGGTGGCTTGTGTGATGAGTTTCTCGAATGATCAGGGAAGTCCGAGTGTGTTCAAGATGCCCTCTTCATTAGTATATAAGCCTGGCAGAGAAAACCAGCATATATAAATGAAGAAAGAGCAGTAGTTACTTTTAGTTCTGTGTAATTTATGATTCTGTTAGTTTTGAGCTAGTGAGTCATAAAGTGTGTATTTTGCACTCGTCGAGAGCGAAGTTATCGATATTGTGAATCTCTGCGATTTATAGCATGTATTATAAAAGTTAGCGATCATTGCTCCTCCACCATCAATTCAAGTCCATCCACTTATTAATTTATATAAACACAATCTGGATCCACTAGTAACGATTAGAACAGTGGTCTTACCTTGTAAGATTCTTGTTTATTCACTATGGTTATTCCCTGCATTTGTGGTGTGTTTAAAACACTTTGGGTATTAATCTGAAATAAAAAAATTATTTAATGTTTTATAATTATATCTTCAAAGAATTTGAAGGTTGGAAAATAAGAGAAAAACAAGTTTTTTGAGACCACTAATTGAGTTGTGTCGAAACCAATGTTTTCTCAAAATTACAATGTGAAACTACTGATATTGTACATTTGACACATGTAATAAAGTTTTACTCACTTACATTTCTTCAACTATTATTTAATTTGTAACTAATAAACTCTTATTTACTTTTATTTTAATTGGTGCTGTGTAATTACTTGGATACAAAAATTCTTTCTCTTCAGTGTGTGTCCAAGTGAACGTTTCTTACAAAATAGAAACTAAAATATGTGTATTTAACAGGCTTAGCACATATTTTACATCAAATTCCAAAACCTTAAAACTTTTTGCAGTTTTCATACTCTACTTTAGGAACCAAATAATTTCTTCACAACATCATCGTGCAAGCATCATCTTCTCTTATCACTGCAACAGAAAATAACTGTTTGTACTCAATGGTAGTTGTCCAAGGTTATTTAGTTTCAGGGTCAAAACTTCCACTTGCATCCAACAAATGTATAGCTTGGTAATATTATATTTAGAAATAAGAACCTCTAGTTTATTTTTAAACATGAAAAGTTCAAGATATTAAGATTTTTTTTATGGGTTTTAATTTTTTACCTATGGTTTTTATATGTGGGTAAACCTAGTGTTGTGTTATCATGTTCACATTCTCATTAAACGCAAGCTACACATTATGCGTGAAGCATTATATGATAAGTGTTTTCACAAATACAACTGTAAGTAAAATAAAATGTCGGCCCGGCATGGCCAGGTGGTTAGGGTGCTTGACTCGTAATCTGAGGGTCGCAGGTTCGAATCCCCGTCACAACAAACATGCCAACCTCCACCTTTGCCTGGTCCCAAGTCCAGGATGAGAAAGGAGGAGGGTTGGGCACGGGGCTAGCAACTCCACCCCATAAAAACCAACCTGCTACAAGAAACTGCAACAACAACTTCCGTTGGGAGGTGTTGTTGCGGCCCTATGCTCCACTGGGAGTTTACAGGAATTAAAAAAAATGTACAAGTTATTTTATGGAAATATGAAGTAACGATTTTTCTGCTATATTTGTTGTAAGTTTGATAGTGCAAATTATAAACAAATTACAAGCATAAAAAAAAAAAAAATCACAAAAGTGACGAATCGACATTAAAGAAAATTAAGTGGTCGCTTGGAAACAACACTTAAGTGGTTGAACTGTGACTTAATACAAACTAGATGAAAATATGTTTCAATACAAAACTAATTTTCATTCCAATAACATATTATGTTAGAAAAAATATCTCACTTTGGATGGATGGTACGTGGAAGTCAAACTAAATTATCTCCTAACAAAAGTTTTGGAAAAATTCATAATGATGTAATTCAATTACACTGGGTATTTTAAAGACATTTTCAAACCTGCAGTACAGCTGTCTTTAATTATTATTGATAATACTGTTATTACTGTTTTATGCAATATTTTGTACTTCTCGTATTTCAGGGTTGAACTGGTTAAAAAGAAAAACTCTGGATTTTTCAAGAACTTACCCATTTTATAATCTCAAAAATCTCAATTATTTAAGAAAGCTAATAAACTGTGCTTAATAATTATTACATAGTATTAATAATAATTAAGTTGTAGTTATATTAAGTTGCCATGAAAAAAAAAGAATTATGAGCATATTTAGAAATATTACTGAAGATTAAAAACATCCGTTTATCAATTACCACGTTTTTGTGGTACAAATTTTTTCCTTTCTTGATTTTATTTATACTGAAAACAATTGACCATAAAACTCAAACTCTTGTGTATGTCTTAATTAGTTATAGAGTGTCAACTGTCTGCAACACACTTGAGACAAGTAATTTACAAATAACTGATCTTAATTAGTTGATGAAGAGTATGGGTAAATATTATCATTTTCAGTTCATAGCAAAGCAATTCAGCAAGAAGATATGCTTTAAGTGCTGTACAGTCTGTTGAAAAAACCCTGATTTTAGACTTTCCATCAAGATGATATGTAACTATGTAAATGTGTGATTTCAAAACTCCTGTTTTAACTACATGATGGTTAACATGTTTATGTTATTTGTACAAACTCACACTATTTATTGATTGCACTGTAATGCTCACTATAGAGATGGGGTGTTTTTGCAAGACCACTGGTGGCATACCCAGTGGTATATATATATGTATATCTTTCAAGATATCAATAACTTTCACTCAATGGTGAACTGTCACGAATGGAATTCACGAGTAAAATTGATGATATAGATACATATATAGAGACAAAGCATACCTGACCAGGCAACAGTGGGATCCCATGATCAGTGGTTAAGACTAGGGTTACTAAAAATATAAATAAAAGGAAGTGATAAGACAAAGGTGAACAGATATGTGTACAAGCTGCACAAGATCCACCAGAAGAAGATACAGCCAGATCATGCAGATAATGAGTAAAGAAGGTATTGGGAGTAGTCTATATTCCAGCCAGGATGGTCTCCTCCAATGGATGTGAAAGGTATGATGATATGATGAAGATGATAAGAAAAAACATTGTGGGATGGCAACCTTCCATGGACAAGTCTGAATATGCATAACGAGTTGACAAACCCAACCAGTTAACATGACAGGGGATAGCCCATGGGAAATGGAAGGGTTTCAAGGAATGAAAGTGGGGGAACTTGAACCCTAAAAGGAGGCAGAACTTGCCAGATAACACCATAAGGAGCAAAACAGACAAAGAATCAGATCAAGATTGGATTGGATTTACCTGTGGGAGGTGGAAGTTAAGAATGTGGATGTGAAAGTGAAACAGCCTTTACGGGCAGCATAGGTCTGAGGGAACAAGGACCGGTGACGATATAATACGACATAAGAGGAATGGTAGAGGAAGTGGGTAATATTAAAAGCAGAAATATCTGATTGATGATGTTTGCAAGTAAGGAGGAGAAGTAAATAGGTTCTGGGGAGGGGGGGGGGGAGAAGGTAGAAGGAACATGAAGACAAAGGTTCAAAGGAAGGATGGGAAAGGCATAAAGGACCATACTGAGATCCAAATCAGGCAAATCAAGGAACATGGAGGATGTATGACTCGAAAGGAGTGGAAAAAGGATGGAAATGACAGGGGAAGACAAAACCAGAAACTGGAGAAAAGAAAGGTGTTTAACAAGGCTGCCCGATAGCTAGACATGGTCAAAGTGGGCAAGCCTTTGTCAAATAACCAGGTGAAGAATAAGGAAAGATGAGGAACGGAAGGGTGAGAGGGATGAAAGCCATGTTCAAGAGACCAAAGGTGGAAGGTATACCATTGCCTGTGGTAAATGGACATGGAAAGAAGTCTAATGGATCAGGAAAGGAAAGATGGAACACATGGAGCCAGCCCCTGGGCTGAGACAATGGACCTGACAAAAGCTATACATGAAGACAGAGTGTGGAGACACCTGGATAA